AAACACCTATTTCAACTAAAAATAAAAAAAAATTCTTTTGAAACTCTAGGTTTATAAATTTTAAATTTTTGAGTTTATTGATATTTAGACCCCCAAATTAATTCAATTGAAAGTTATTTCAAACATTTGTGATTATTTCTACCATTTTAGTTTCATCCAAAACACCTAAAAATCAAATTCCTCAAATAACCACCCACCCCAAACACATCAAAGCCATCGCTCGGACGTCTTGAAATCACAAGAGAGAAAACTCGAGAGTACAGCAAACATATGTTGAAGGGAGAAATCAATAAAATTAGAGAGAGTTGGATGGTGAGAGAGAGAAATTGGAAGTAGAGACGGAAATTAGGAGAAATTGTGATTGATGGTTTAATTTATTTGAAATAGTTTTAAAGATATTTTTATCAAATTATAGTTAAAAATAGTTAATTTTATTTTGATGACTATTTTAAAATCATTTTTTATAATTTTTTGGGTATTTATTGGCATGGAATATATGGTGTAGGTTTTCTTTGGTTCCTAATCATATTGCAATCTCATATTGTTTGCAAAAATGAATATATCTCTCTTATCGTACCAGTCTTTCCTAATTTAGTCAATTGTTAATTAATTTCACAGAGTAAATTGCAAGAGCAACACAGTCCATTGATTACACAATGAATTGCCTTAAATTACAAGGTTTTGTCGTCACGATGATCAGGTCATATAGCAGCTGCATCTTGTTAACATGCCTGCTTCCCAACTATAACATTGGCTCATAAATCTGCACACACAAGAACAAAGCGCAAGTTGCTATAAGTAGAATCTTACTCTGATAGCATCCTTCCCTGTACCATATATTTTTCCAGAAGAAAATGCTTCTAAAAAATTTTTCCGGGAAAGAAAACAATGCTGCTTTAATGATTTGGGAAGTCTAGCTATTTGATTTGATAACCGTTTATATTGCTGCCATGCATTTTTTTTTTGTCCTGCAGAAAAAGATTTTCCAGGAAACAAACAATTTTGCTTTTAATGACTTGGCACGTCTAGCAATTACATCAATGAAAGAGGAAGATTAAAAGCCTTCCACACTGTCAAATTCAAACGTTCAGGACTGCATGCGATATACACAGACAAAATGACCACTATAGTGTGAATAAACAGAACGTTTCTGTCCTTATTCATCAAAACGCGTTTTCTGCAGAGATTTCACAAACAATTTTTGGCATATTCATTTCTCTATCACTCATTAATGTGGACGGCTTTTTGGACCCCATCAAGGATTTAGCGTATCCTTTCCTTTGAAATATTTTGACAGAAAGAAGAAAAATGCACTGATTTTCTTGGACAATATAACCCTTAATTTATTATGGTCACATTTACGCATGCTTGCATGCATGAATGAGGAAGACGCTTACGTAATAAACCCCGATAAGACAGTAATGGAATTTATCTTCGAATTTAGGTTAATTATCTGTACCAAAACAATTATGTTTGTATTAATGACTTTACAATTAATATTCCAATACTTGTTGTTTTTTGTTTTGTGGAGGAAAAATCAACCTGCTTTCCTTTTTCTTCTACTTTGTCATCTGTTTTAGAAATGAATGCCAGGAAACTGCCTTCATCATAGGGAAGGGAAAAATGAAAAACTAAATATGGATGTTGATTGAAGCGAAGTTGGCAAAAGAAATGGTCGATGTCCTTGTACATCAGTAAAAACAAACAAGTTGCAACAGCAGCCAATTTTGTATTGAAAAGACTTAATTGAATGTTATTAATCAAAACCATAGGTGTATATACAGATACATTTGCTATCTAAACTTGGAATTTAATTACTTTCAAATACAAAAAGATTTGGTGTTGCTCTACTTGTGAAGATTGTGTTCGCTGTTGTTTGTTGTCCTTTTGCTGGCTTTGTTTGCTGCTGTATATTCCACGAAATTGCGTGCAAATGTATACAAAAAGCCCCGTTTGAACAGGGATTAACACTTTCTTCCGGATCGATGTTTTGTCAAAAGAATCGCTGTCAAGCTAAATTACAGTTGTAATTAGTGGCGTCTTGTCATGTGAAAGCAACTTGGATTACAACATAACCTTCGAAATTAGTGTTTAGGTCTTCGAAAGTTGCATGGAAAAAGAACAGAACAGTGGTACCAAGGTTTCCTCCGTAGCATTGGCAGCTGTAAATATGTAAATTGCTAGCTATCCCTTGCTTCTTATCCTTATCTCTTTCTACCTGCTAGTACACTTACTTTTTCATACAATCAAAGGGAGCAAGTTGGCTAAAGGGCAAACCGCCAAATTATGGGTATTATTTTTGTCTCTGCTTTTGTTTTTCTTGGATTAGGCTTATTACTTGAAGTAAGATTTATTGTTATTCTAGCTTAGTTTTATTAATAAGAAAACATTTAGAGATTTATATGTATATTAAGATTCTAAATTCAACTCTCTGTATATTTCTCTGTACTAAAGATGCATGTGTCGCTTGGATTGTCTTGTAAGGATTCTCATTGGCTTGTGTTCCCTAAACTCATCATTAATGAAAGCATGACAATTTTCAACGTCCAACTAAGAAGCAAAGATAGAGCTGAGAGACACCAAAAATAGCAGCTAACTAGCTATTAGAGACCGGTTTTATACCCAATTTTTACAAAGATCAGATCAATAATAGTAGACTGAATATATAGATACATGAGAGACAGAAAGTGAGCTTATTACAATCCGCTGAAAGATAGCTTCTGCTGGTTTTTCTTTCCCTGTACGCGTGCTTTCTGAAATTGGGCTCCTTCCAAATATAGTATATACAAAAGCAGTGCTTCTAGGAGTCTGAGAAGTGTAGATGGGAAACACGTTCTTTTTCAGTGTGTTGATAGCCCAAATGAGTTGCAAGCCCAGAGAAATTTACAATCAGTAATATATATGAAGGATAACCCATCCATGGTCCTAAAATGAATTCCCGTATTTAATATCTTCTTATGGCCAAATGGGCAGGGGTGAAGATAAGGGGCTGGTAGGGGCCTTGCCCCCGACCCAGGTATTTTCCTGGCCTCTATTTTCCTATAAATGCACTTAAATTTAGTATTCTTTCACTTGGTGATGATCATTCGTCTACCGTGTATCATTTCCTGCAGTCCAGCAGTCCTATGACTCCTCTAGTTTTGACTGTTCTTTCTTGATGGGCTTCAGACAGATCGTGGGCTTTAACGAATTGTCTGATACGATTTCAAAGAAATGGGATGTGGATCACGTTATGGACCCAAACTCTTATCTACATTAATCCAATAAGAAAGAGAGGTAGCCCAATTTGGAATATGGGCCACGTGGATGAATTCGTAAGCAAAGATTTTCGTTTTACCAGCTAAGACCTCTGATCTTAAACCCTTTTCCGTCCTTCGTGAACCGTTGGCTAGGGTTTAAGGCTAACCTCCTCATCATCATCTTCATGATATGGTAAACCAAGCCCATCCCCTAACCATCCATGGCGGTTTCGGGGTTAAGCTTCGCTTGCAAGCCTCATTTCTCTCTTCGGCCTCCTCTCTTTCACTGTTTCCGCAAAGTAATTCTGCATTTTTTTATTTATCTTTTATTCATTTTTTCTAAATGGGGTAAGACTTAATTTATTTACTTGCAAAGCTTTTTAATCATTTCTTTGTAGATTCGGTTCAGTTCCGTTGCTGCAATTGAGACGCTTGATGAACCAGAAATTTTTATCAAAGACAAAAGCAGTCAAAGTTCTGACTCTTCTCATACAAATAATGGCATGTCAAAGTTTAGATTTTTTGGGTTTTTTCTTTTATTGAATCTAATATTTCTTCTTGGTGTTGTATTCTAAAAAATTATTAAATTTTTCGTGTTGAAGTGAGTGAAGAGGACAGCAAATTGCCACAGTGGAAGAAGCTGAATTCTCAGGATCTTGGAATTAGCACTACAAATATTTCCAAGCCAACAAGGAAAGTTCTTAATGGGCTCAAAAGAAAAGGTATTGTGGTTATTTATAATTCCATTGCAATATTTGAGGGAATGAACCTTGTTTTGTATAAATTTTAGAAATCAAAGCCTTTTTCTCTTGTTGTGCTTGTAGGGTATGAGGTTTACCTTGTAGGAGGATGTGTACGGGATCTTATTTTGAAGAGAACACCAAAAGACTTCGATATAATAACCACAGCAGAACTTAGAGAGGTTGTTGACTTCTTGCTAATAGCCATTTTTCTTCTTGTTTTTATTTTGTGGTTATTTTTATCTTATTGTTTGTTTATTAAAATTATTGTATGCCCATTGCATTGAATAGTCGTTATTGTTGGACAATTGACATGCTAATAGCGAAAATTTGAGGTTGATGCCCAGCAAAAAATGTCCCATTGTGGACGTTTCTCTAATCTTTATTGTTAGTGCCATTCTTTCCTTTTTGAGGAGTTTCCCAATTCCTGAGCTTCCAGACATGCTAAAATTACTTTTCCAAATTTGCAGGTGGTGACGGCATTTTCACGGTGTGAAATAGTTGGAAGACGGTTTCCTATATGCCATGTGCACATTGGTGATACAATAGTGGAGGTTTGTTCTTAGCTAGTTTGTTATCTTTGACTCTTTTCCTCCCAGAAGCAATTTAAAAAATTTTCCCCATCTTTATGCCTTTTTTTTTTTTTTGTGATGCCTGTTCTTGAAGGTTATCAATTTTAAATTTACCTTTTTCTTTTTATTGTTTTGTTACCATTTTGAGTTCTCTTTACAATTTAGGTTTCAAGTTTTAGTACATCGGGGCAGAAGTTTGGTAGGAGCCTGAACTACAAACTTGGAAGACCAGCTGGCTGTGATGAGAAGGATTTTATTCGTTGGAGAAATTGTTTGCAGCGGGACTTTACAATTAACGGGTTAGTTTTATAACATTTTGAGCTTATGATGTATGCACTGCCACTTGTTCCATTTTGTTTGTATTTGCATGCCCTTAATCATTCATTTAAGACACCTCTCTGTTTCTACAGGTTAATGTTTGATCCATATGCAAGGATAATTTATGACTACATGGGAGGAATTGAAGATATTAGAAAAGCTAAAGTGTGCATTCTGGTTGTTCATTTGTTGCTTTAGAAATTAGAATTGATTTACATTGTCCTTTATCTTCTGTTTGATGTAGGTACGCACTGTGATTCCTGCAGGTACTTCTTTTCAAGAGGATTGTGGTGAGTTTATGTTTGCAGTTTCCATCAATTACTTTTCATCTTGTAATAGAACAGCTTTCATGCTATTGTCTGCTTGGTCACCTAGAAGTAAGTACCCACCATCTAATAACCCTTCTTTTTGTGCTTACTGAGAAATTTTCTCCTCACTGCATACTCTTTGCAGCTCGCATTCTACGTGCAATAAGAATTGCTGCTCGGTTAGGCTTTAGTTTTTCTAGGGAAACAGCTCATTTTATCAAAAATCTGTCTTGCTCAATATTGAGACTGGATAAGGTATAAAGAAAGCTCCTTTTTACTACTTCAAAGTTTTTCCAGTATTTACATTGTATGAAAAATGTTGCTGGTCGATTTAATTCACTTGTGGTAATGTTTAGTCAAGGATTCTGATGGAAATGAACTACATGCTAGCGTATGGTTCTGCAGAGGCTTCTTTGAGATTACTGTGGAAATTTGGACTGTTAGAAATACTTTTACCTATTCAGGTAGGGAACCGAAAAATGATGTTTCTTTCAAGCTTGTCAGTTTGGTACTAATGTCTGGATATAACTTCATCTGACAGGCAGCATATTTTGTTAGTAATGGTTTACGGAGACGTGATAAGAGATCTAATATGCTCCTGGTAAATTTTGTTCTGTATTTAGTTATCTAGGGCCCCCAAAATGACTAGCAGCAATGTGATAACATGGAATCCATTATGTCAATCTCTGTTGTTTCCATTGCAGTCATTGTTTTCTAACCTGGACAGACTTCTGGCACCTGACAGACCATGCCATGGTAGTTTATGGTGAGTTTGTTATCAACGAGAAAATGCATATCTATTCTCTTCATATGCAATAACCATCAACATAATGCAATGCCAATATTCTGGATCATGGACAGCCCCATTAGACAAAGTATGCAAAGTAGGATTTTTTGTGTGTACATTTATGAAGTCATTTATCCCAAAAAGGTTAAAACATCCTCTTATTGCTAACAGGGTTGGAATATTAGCATTCCACAAAGCACTTTTGGACGAACCTAAAGATCCTCTGGTCGTTGCTGCATATAGCCTTTCAGTCCACAATGGTGGAGATATACTGGAAGCAGTAAATATTGCCACTAGGATCAACAAATCCCATGATACTAGCTTTCATGAACTATCAGAGCCACGAAATCTAGAGAATCAGACATTGATAAATGAGGTTATGGATCTTGCTGCATCTGTTAAAAGCACTTTGTGCAAGATGACTGATGAGCATTTTGTCTCCCAGGCAATGTCAGCATACCCTCAAGCTCCTTTTTCAGATCTGGTGAGCACTTTTCCTTATGTTTCCTTTCTATTTTCTGGTTTTTTAGAAGATACACTAAGATGCTGCCAACCAGGTATCAACAATCGATCAGAGCAAACACCTTTTCTCCCATTACATATATTAGTAAACAATGTCTAGTTTCCCATCTCTTGACCAATTTAAAGTTATTTAGGAGCAAGTGGGTGTCTTTCCACTGATAAATAATTTAGGCAGCCCAGTGAAATTGACAGTTGAGGTTGGGAGAGAGAGAGGAGAGGAGTGAGATTTGGAAGTGAAAATGTCACTGCCAATTGTTGAACCTTGAGCATCATGTCTTGGAGCTTCCCCTTGTGGTAGGCAAGTAGAACAGCCCATGTGCAAGGATGGTGTATCTTAATCCAAATTGTTTGAATTAGCGATCTTGGGTTGAAGACCAAGTTGCTGATTTTGACATCCTTTACCATCAGATAGGCTTGCTGCCTGTTAACAAGATTGCTATGAATATTAAACCAGACATGGGAATGTGGCTTGCATTCTCAATACCAAATGCTACCTAACAGTTGCACAACTGGTCATGATCTGAGTCGGGGTCTGCTTTCTTTCTGATTTACACCTAGAAGGCATGCCTGATTTTTGCCCATAATCTCACATGTGCAGGTTTTTATACCATTGGCTTTGTATTTGAAAGTTTGCAAGGTTTTTGAGTGTGTGAGAGAGGGTGCAGAGAAGGGATTTGTGGCAAAGCAAGGTAGCAGGATTGACTATGAGTTGTTAGCATTGGGTAGCCTAAGTGAACTACGACATACATTTGCAAGGGTTGTTTTTGATACTGTATATCCTCTTAATCGAACCTAAATTAAGATGTCGACATAAGGGTGGCGTTTGGTACTTGACAATGCAATGTAATTATAGATAATATAATTACAAATAATGTGATTGCAGGGAAAACAACATTTCAATGTTTGGTATACAAGTAAAATAATGATTAAAATGTAAAAAAGATAATATTATAGCATTTGGTTTACAAATACTTTGTTCGGAATATAATGTTAATTTTTAAAATGACTCATAGTTATTAAAATATAAATGTAATATATTTATATTTTTTATTATTAATTTTTATATAATATTATTTTTTAAATATATTTTTAATATTATATATTTTATTTTTATTTATTATTATAATTTTATATATTTTATTTTTAATATATTTATATTTTTTATTATTTATTTTTATGTAATATCATCTCTTAAATATATTTTTAATGTTATATATATTTTTATTTATTATTATAATTTTATATTTTTATTTTTAATATTTTAATATTATATATTTTATTTTATTTTATTTTATCTATATTATATAAATTTTAATTTTTTATATTTTATTTTATTTTTTAATTTTTATATTATATATTTTATTTTAATTATAACAATATAAAATATTTTTAATAAGATAATAAAGTTGAAGGATAAAATTATCTTCAAGAATATTGTAAAGTGCAATGTAACGTGATTACATTGGTTTTTGATTGCAATTATATTACATTTTTTTGTTGTAATGTAATTGTATTGTAATTTTATATTACAGTAGTCTATTGTAAAAAAAACACTGTAATATAATTTAATTAAACACATTGTAGAGAATGTGTTATCATTTCTCTCATATCAAATGCTATCAAGTAATTATATTCCATATACAAGAAAATTTCGAATTGTTGAGTGGTAAAATGTGTTCCATTGGCTTCGTGTATGCCATGCACAAGTACATGAAATAAGTTAGTGGAAAAGCATGCATTTGTCACCATGGACTTGACGGCAATCATGAATGCTTGGAGTATCCAGGGGAAAGATTGAGGAGACAGCCTTTGCTTGTTTGGACTGGCACTTCCTGATATGAATGTTTTATTTAACAGAGAGCTGATGGAGTGGAGGCTGCGGCTTTGCTGGGTTACTTCGGTGCCTGATTCAAGGAAAGCAGCTTTCACTCAAGCTTTGATCATCGTAAGCTTCAGCCTTCCCATTGAAGGAATTCATGTCCCCAAGAATACCCTGTACGCTTTATATTCGATTCTCTTGTTCGATCATTGGTTCGACGAGATCGAGTGTCCATTTCATCTCAGGTTACAGGGGAGATAAACGGCTGTGAAAAACTAAGGAAAAAAAAAACTAGAAATGGTTTAAGTATGAATCTCTTATCCTTTTTATTCAAGAAACAATACAACCTTTGAGAACATAAAGAAATTTAATGTGTTCCTGTACTTGTGGAAACAAAGTTCCGCTCGTCATTCAGATACAAGTTTGAGTTGGTGCCCACAAAGAAGAATAAAGACAAAAATCAACTGCGCCGGAAAAGAATTACTACAAACAACCATGTCTACAAAAGAATAAAATACGGAGCCCACCAGCGACCATTGCTAATTTTGAGGACACCAACCGTATTATTGCTCTCTCAATAAGGGGAATCCCCATTTTCCTACAGAAATCTCAAAAAAGGTTGCGTCGTGTTTGCCAATAAGAACTACAGTTTTTCATGCCTTTGCAGCAGCAGCAGGAGTAGGAGCACCGCCGCCCGTGGTTGGCCTGCAGAAAGAAACCAGATTCAGCTCGTTTGATTGATTCGATATAGCACTAAATGAATGAATTTCTTGGATCTTATAGTAACTAAGAACCATAATATATACATATATACATATATATATATATATATATGAGAATCTGAGCAAATGCTGCAAGCAGAGAACTTACAGCCCAACAAAAACTTTGAACGCATCATAGATTCCCCATTGTGCTCCAGTAAGGGTCCCAATCATTACAATACGAAGAGGAAGGCCGCGGGTGAAAAGACCCCACAATCCTAGCTTCTTCACCGCCTGAAATAGAAACAAAAAAGGCAACAAAAAGAAGCAGGTAAATAAATGAAAAGTGGAAGAGAAACTATTTATATCCATGAAATTCAAACAAAATACAAAAGATTTTGACTCACATCACCAACAGTCGCCCCCTTGGCATTGTTGAGAAAAGACACCAGGTTGTCAGCAGGATGTGATACAACAGCACAGAAAACACCAGCTATGTATCCACCAGCAAAGCTCACCCCAAGTTGCAAACTTTTACTGCACTGGTCTTTAGGGGTGGGGATGGAATACTTGTAGATTAGCTCAACAATAGTTTCAAAAGATGCAAATTTCATCATTGTATCTGCAAAATACCATTTCTGTTCATCAGTACAAATTCAAAACCTCTCACCTATGGATTTACACAAAGGAGATCAACAGAGCACACGCACACAAAAATGAAACACAACAGTAGCAGCCACTAGTATATTTTTTCTTCAGGTGCTTATGTCACACATGCCGCAAAATATATATAGAACTAATATTAGAGAAGGGACAGCTAAAAGCAAATTTAAGTCTTGAGGCACGATGGCATTAATATAATTATATAAAAGTACTTGTCAAAATTAGGAATGTACTTTAGACAACAAAATCACTGCAGTATCTACCTAGGTACAATTGCAAAAAGCCCTAAAACTGACCACCTGCTGATGCCGTTAAAGAAAAATGTATATGGGAAGAACTTTTCAAGTTGGACATGCCAGTTAAAGAGTCACGCAAACACAATGGTTAACTAAAATATTATTTGTGAACAGGGTGAAATAAGGTATAAATTGCTAAATGCTTGACGCATTTATTCAGAGTTTAACACAAAAAACTGCCGCATCCATATACAAAGGAAATTCAAACTTCATGGCAAACAAACATGTCAGTAACACTAGACCACATAAAGCATATATGAAACATGAAATGCAGGAAAATGCTTGGCTTACATGGAATCTGTCGTCCCCAGAGAGGAACAAGTCCTTTATACAACCTACAAACATGTAAGATCATAGTATCAACATTTCTTACAAATATAAATCCACTACATAAACAAAGGTGTATGGTACAGATATCATACCCGCCAGCACCTTCAGCCTTCACGAACTTCGGCAACCCATCTGATAAACCTCGTGCAAATCCAGGCTGAGTTTGCACACGAACTTTGACTGCCTCCATGGGGCAGAGAGCAACATCAGCAATCAATTCAGCAGATGCAGAACCGGCAAGATAAATTAGGGTCTTATACTTTGTGGCAAACTCAGGCCCAGCAATGTCAGAATAGTACTTCTTGAAGAATTCATAGAAACCCATTTTACAAGCACCCTGAGCACTGTAACCAAGCAGGGTAGGCACCCAACCCTTAAATAAACCTCTAGCACCTTGCTCCTTTAGCAAAACTCCAAACCCAGATGAGATACCCTTGTATTTTGTTGGGTTAATCTGAGATTTCAACAATATTTATATTAGCATTCCCTTTTTGTCCCATAAGGAAACAGAAGATATACTATTTAGAACAATTAAAAGACAAAATCAAAACAGTCAAACCTCCTCATGACCTAGGTAACAATTGATGCCATCGTACCTAGAAAGGAATTTACACGTTTTGCACGTTTTACACGTTAGATGACAAAAGTTAAAAATAGAAGCATTTTTGCATTGCCTACATGATTAATACTATTGCCAGCCGCCTAGGAGAAAAAAAGACCAGTCTAGAAAAAAAGGCCATGCGAAACTTCAAGAGGACTATCAACCACTTCGTCAATTTAAAAATAAATTTAAAGAAAAAATCGTTTTAAAGTCTAGAATACTAGGAATTAAATAAATAAAGTTGTTCCAAACCTTGAGGAGTCAACAACTAAACAAACAATCCTCAGGTCCAAAACTCTAGAATCCCAAAAAACTTTGAATATTACTATAATATAGTTGAAAAGTAATACTATATTAATTGTGAAACCGTAAAAACCTTTTTTTATTCTGGAAAAGAGATTTGAATCTGGTCTTTGCGGAAAGATCATTCATTGGTCGAAACGGTAAAAACTTATTCAAGCCACCAACAACTGAATTCTAGATACAAAGAACCAATCAAACAAACACATTTACAACAAAAAAAAGCATTAATTATTAAAAGAAAAAAGCCAAAAGTTGTTTTGATTTTAATCTATCATTTCTTCGGAAGATCAAATCCAAAACTACAATAAACATCTTAAATTCCCTTACAAAAGATGAATTGTCTGAATAAACAGAGATTAAGTAAAGGCTCATGAGTTGAAGGAATCAAATGAAACAAATCCAAATTTAAGCAAAAAAAAAAGAAGAAACAAACGGAGAAAAACAATACAGAAAATGATGAAATAAACGAAGAAAGAATACCTGCATGTTGCACTTGACAAGATCGAGAGGCGTGACGGCGGTGTGAGTAAGGCCGCAGCTCAATATCCCACCGGCCGTACACGCGGCGTAATAAGCCGGTGAGAACATCTCGATCTTCTCCTTCGGCGCTGGTATCGCAAACCTACTCGAAGGCGCCCCTGCATCACCTCCCACGTTCGATGATGGTAATCGAGGCAGCACATGATGATGATTGGCGTTTGACAAAGCCGTCTCCAAACCGAAGACTCGTTTGGTTGAGGAAGGAGAGGAATAGAGGAAGCTAGGAAGGAGGGATTTTCGAGAATTATCAGAGATTGCCATATTTTATTCTTTCTTCGGGTTACGATTTGTTGGTTCTCTCAAATGAGTGAAATGACTCTTGGTTTTGAGAGAGCAGAGGAATACGAAGAAAATGGAAAGTTTGTGGTGCTTTTAGAATGCCAGAAAAATGAAAAATCAGTCAAAAATTTCTGCGTTTTCGAACGACTGTCCTTCCTTTGCGCGGCTTTTTATTCACCTTTGCCGCGGGACTTTGCCCCTTTGACTTTTGCTCTTTTACGAATTCTACCGTTGACCTATAAACAATTAATTTTCCACTATTCCACTTGTTTTATTCTTCCAAAACTTTAGACTATTTAAACAAATTTAAGTAAATTCTTATATTTCTATTTCATTCAATCGAGTATTTAAAATTTTATTTTGAATAAATAGATTTATATAATTAATTAATAATTAACTAATTTAATCAAAATAATATATATTATTTTACATCTATAATGTTGAAATGAAAAATAAAAATATTATGTGATTGTATTTTTTTTAAAAATATATCATATAAATATATTGGTATTAACAAGTCATATCAATATATTTTATCATGTATTATTTATTATAATATGTAAATATATCACGTTGACATTATGTGACATAATATTTTGATTAATAATAATTAGTTAATTATTAATATTTATTTGATTCAAAATAATAATATAAAAATTTAATTAATCATAATAAAAATAAAAAAAATTAAATTTTTTTAATGATTTAAAAATTCTATTAATTATTATACATTTATAGTTCTTAAGAAAACTAATGTTATACTGTGTTGTTTGTTTGACTTAATTTTCATTTAATTTTATTTTTATTTGTAATTTGTAATATCAAAACAATGCCTATTATAAGGAGTTTGTTTTAAAGAGGGTAAATTAATGTCGAAAAAAAAAACAAAAAAATGAATGGAGTACAATCAGGGAGATGTCGGTTTAAAAGGTATGGTGTTTTATACGTAACAATTCGCAAAAGCAGATGGCATTTTATAAATTGATAAAGTACGTAAGCAAATACGTAAACTATATATTCAGGGTCGGAAGGACAATTCTCCCCATTGTAATTTTATAACTAATTAGGGTTGTCAAAGTTAATGCTAAAAATTTGTTGTGTATTACTTTTTGCCCTCACTTTGATCGAAGAAGACAAAATAGTGGAAATTCTAACATACTTAAGTATAAAATATAACATACGCAGATGAATTATTTGAATGAGTTAATCAAGTGTAACAGTCATAGCAATTGTATTTAGTTTTCTATATAATAAGGATTAAAACAATTAAATTAGTATATGATTGATCACAAAAAAAATGTAATTTATATAACTACCCAGGAAAACCATGACAAGGTTGCTATATATTGCGAACACTTAGCATGAAGGGCGTTTTAGTCTTTACACGACATTTTGGGAATGGAGTTCGGGACAAAGCTAACCTCTACTAGGCTAGATTTTCACCATACGGCGGGGAGATTACCTGAATATTAGGCTGACAAGGCTTGCTCTACGGTGGAGTGTTGAAAGGCGATGATAGGAAATTCCCCACATATCATAAACATGGACGTAATGGGTAGGCTGTGCACAGCCTGGCACGAGACTTCAGAAAAGGGAGCTGTTATCATTTTGGCAACTTATTGGTTGCATAAAAGGCCACGAAGCTACAACGGGGACCCTGACTCTTCCGCTTGTTGGCCCGGTCCATGCTTTGAATCCGCCCTATGGCAATTTGGTTGGTCCCAAGCCTTAAAGTGAATCTTGACCCAATCGACTTTCTAGCATTCAAATGTTTAATTGAAAATTAATTAATTTTTTATTAAATTCTCACCCATTGGCCCACTTAAACTAATCTCAAGTACATAAAAACAAATTTTATATAAATAATTCAAGTTGTTACATGCTTGGCTTCGTTTTTTTTCTTTTTCCCGTTATACAATTGTCTGAATTTTCGTCAATTCGTCACGTGTAAATGAAGCTCAAATAACGTTTGAATATTCTTCTTGTAGGCTGCAGAAGTGAATTAGGTTGACATCATATTTCTGGAAACGACTCGCACATGCAGCATAGGTTTCGTCCTTGACCGTAATATCCATGTGAATTTGAATTCTCTTTGAAAACGTATTTAGTTGCCAATTATATCGAATTCCTCTTACTTTTCAGGAAATTTACCTAAAACCGTTTGATTACCTGCAAAATATGGCTAATCAAAACACCGAAAAGAAAAGCAAGGGTCCAGGACTGGAGATGTAGATTGCAACTGACAAAAGCTCAAGATATTTTGACGATGAGACTGAAAATTCGCCAGTGGTATCTAGGATTCTTGCTTGCACTGACTTGAATGATCATTTGGCTGCTTGTGGGCCATTGCCATTTCCTGCTATGAAAGCACCCGTAGGCCAACAAATTGATAAGTGGTCACAACGCCATTGTCTTCGCTCACGCTCCATTGTCACAGGCAGGCTCACAGCCTATAGTTTTTTCCTTCATTATTAATTATTAGGTTATCACCCGCTGCTCCGGAAACGAAGACAAAATGGAAAATCGCCGTTGCCGGGGATCGAACCCGGGTCACCCGCGTGACAGGCGGGAATACTCACCACTATACTACATCGACAAGCTTGCAAGACGGTTTCCAACTTTGTATCTTGTCTTAGTAACTTTACCTGCTTATATAAATTTTTTTATATAATATATGATATTATTAAGTTATGATCTAAGGGCAAAATAATTAACAATACCAACGAACTATGATTCTGCTTATTTGGGAAAATTTCTACATAAGTATTAAAGCTCCTTGATAATCCTGTTTAAAAAAGGTATATACACATATTGGCTTTGATAACTTTGGACCATCGGTTTAAAGGAAAATCTCTAATTAATTTCCTTTTCTTTGAGCTAAAATAAAGACTTTGAAATAGATTTTCGAATTGTTCTAAATGTGCAGCGGCAAATTCACATAATATAAATTAATTAGAGCTTCATTTAATTGATATATTTGTTCTTTGTTTTTTACATAAATGAACGAAAAATAATAATAAATACTAAAAATATCAGTTAAATAATTTAAATTTTAATAATCATAAGTACCTTACTTAAAATACTCGGGAAGTACATAAAGCACACTCATGCATCTCAAGAAGCCATCTTACCTAAAATTATGGATCTAATAACAAACTATAATGTGACACTATACTCGTTGTAATTTTATTATTTAACCAACCAAGAATATATACGTATAAAGTTTTGTACATATTGCACAACATACATATTACACATGTTTATATATATATATATATATATATACAATAACAAGCTATATACACACATCGTAGGTAAACTTATATGACATAAGATGGAGGTTTGTAATCAGTATGATATTTAAAAAGTTTTTAAATTATTTTAAAAAATTTAAATTATTTTTTATATTTTTATTATGTCAAATCAATTTTTTATACTTTTGTTTTAAACTAAATAAATTATTATCTTTTTATTTAGAGTTAAATAAATTCTTATTAAGAGTTAAATAAATTTTTATTAGTAATGATTGATTTAATTAAAATGTCACTTATCATTTTATGTCGTGTAACATTAATGTAGTAAAATAATACATCATAATAAATAATTACGTAAAATGTTAATATGTTATCATAATATGATCATATTATATTTTTCATTATTCGTATCAAACATCATATGATATAAAATAATAATATATTTTAATTAATGATAATTAATTAATATAAAAATTTATTTGATTAAAACTAAAAAATATAAAAACTTCATTTTTTTAATTTTTTAATAATTCATACACTCTTTTTAATATTATACCGTTACAAAAGAGACACAAGGTTGCATAAAATTGTGTTTATAAGGAGAAACAGTGTTTCTGAAAGAGCGCTTTTTTGTCAAACCCATTAACCAATAAGGTTTTTTATTGTTTTTATTTTTTGTTGAATTAGAGCAAATCCGCTTGCCGCATGAATCAATTGATGTTCTACTTTTAGGGAGCAAGTGACGAAGGATCTCATCGTCATGTGCATGCTCTTAACTAAGCAATTAGAAACGGTAATTAATTATCTTGAGTAGGAAAGCAATGAGCATACGCTAGTGTGTCCCCCAATCTTGCATTTTACTTCATGGACTGATGAATGCGGTCAGAAATAAGTGCCCCATCTTGTTTGCTATTACACCCTGGGTTTGCTTCGTGTATTGTCAATGCTGAGCTTGACATGTGCTTGATCCAAAAATGTCGATGTCTTGGAATTAATGTGTTATTATAAGTGCCAACGATCCGTGGGCGGCGGGAGTCTTTACTTGCATCAAATGTGAAATGACTTGGCACTGCTATTTCAACAAGCAACCTTATTCTTCATGTCCAAAAATTTGAAGAATCTAATTTTAAAGAATACTTTGAATAATTTCCTCAAAAGGAAAAAGAGTACTTTAAAATTATTTTGAGGTGAAATATAGTCTCACGCATGAAGCAAGCACAAAATATTTACAAATTTGGAGTAGCTTTATATATTAGTACAGCATTTTCCTTGATAGCCATATAATCACAAGGGTGAAGAAACATCCGACGTGGCATGTAGATAAGGTCGCTTCGTGGCCTAGGCGGCCAAGGACAAAATTATTGGTTCCAATTTTTACCGCTACCGCGCAGCCAAAACATTCGCTCTGTCCAAGATCCTTCGCCGTCGGGGACGAAATCGTGGACCCCACGCCAACTCACTTTTAACACGTTGTCACTGGGTCCCGCTTTTGGCCCTTTCAATTCTCTCCCGCGAAACCAGCATTAAGGCATAGACGATGTCGTATTGCTCAACCCTCTTCCTCTCCCTCATTTCAACATTTTTTCAACCCCTTTCTCTCACTGCTCCGTCTCTCTCGAGACGAGACCAAATCCTCCCCGATTCTCCCCCCAAAATCTAGCTCCCCTTCGTTAAAAAAGAAAAGAAAAGAAACGAAAAGAAAGAAAATATATAAATAACAGTAAATATAAATAGAGGCATGGATCGGAGGAGGACAGCGAGTCCGGTGTACGGCCGGCAGTGGAGCGGGGGATCGAGCAGCTCGGGCTCGTCGTCTCCTGCTCATCCTCAGTCGCGGTTGCATCCGGGTGCCGCCGGTGGTATGTCCACCATCAAGCGCACGCAAAACGTCGCCGCGAAAGCCGCCGCTCAACGGCTCGCTCAAGTCATGGCTTCGCAGACACCCGACGACGACGAGGAAGACGACGATCTAGGGTTCCGGTTCGGCGGTCCTCCTGTACCTACTAGCTTCTCCAATAGCAGTTTAAATCACAGTACTTTGCCGGCTATCTCAGTCACTCGGCCTAATAGATCTCCCTCTCCTGCGGTAATGACTTTGAATTGCAGTGAATTAGAGAGGCTTTCCTTTTTGTGTTTTATTTGCCTTATTTTAGATTTGAATTTTTGATCTGATTTTTAGTTTTGGTAATTTTGATTAGCTAGGTCGGAATTTTGTAGAGCATGCGCCTTCGGTGAGGTCCACGTCAGCAGGGAGGCCGGCAATGTCGATGCGGTCAACGGCGCCAACTTTGATGCCGCCGAGTAGAACTTCAGTTCGGACACCAGTTACTATACCCCCGATTGATCCTCCAAATAGGAGCAGAGATAAAAGGTTAGCGTACATGAGATTTTATTGCTTAGAAATATTCATAATTTATAGATGCTTAATTTAAAAGGTTAAGATTGTAGTTCATGTAAATATTCATGCATTCGAGTAAGCCTATACAGTTTTAACTGCAATTCCTTTTACGTCTTTTTTTTCCCAATTTTTTTAATCATGATGTTGTTTTCACTCTACTTTTAGCCAATTGCATAGGTGGTATGCTAAATGATATTGCTTAGTTATAAAAGAAAACAGGAGAATGGTGGTTTTTAACATGGTGGCATGGCATCTGAAGTGATAAGGAGAGAAAAAAAAGAAAGATAGACGAGTCTTTGGATAGAATGAAACTTTAAATTATATTTAAGACTTAAGATAATAACTGAGGTGGTAAGATAGCAGCTGATTAAGAGATACCGAGGTTGTAAAGAGACCAAGTAGCCAACTGCTTAATGTATTAGTACAGATGCTAAAATCGTATCAGTTCAAACCAGTTTTTTGCAGTTGCAATGTATTTATTAATATTTGCAGCTACTATTTTGTCATTAAAAACATATTCCTCTCATTATACACTTGCATATATGTATCTTTGAACACTGCCACTAAGGCACTAATATATCTTCTACCACTGCAAAGATAGGTTTTCAATGCTATTATTGTGCTGGGTCAACCTACTAGGACATCTAAAATGTAGTTTCCGCTAGTAAATTCTTCATTTCTCCCTTAGGGGATTATCTAATAGACTTGTTTATCCATATTTTTTTACCTAAATTCTTCATTTGCTTTGAACTCTGAAACTAATTTAAAATGCCTTTTTCTTCACACTTGCACTTTAGCAATAATCATCCTGGTGCTTCTGTCCTTTCCATTGTGTGTGCTTTACTATTGGATTTACATGCCTGTTTTTGAAATTCTAATAATGTTGTATAATGAGAAGCTAAAAAAATTCAACCCCTTAGAAGATAATGGATTTTGAGCAGTTGAATTATATTCTGGAAAGTATTGCAGGTTTACAGCTGATGTAGGACAACTCAAAGCAAAAGACACTGGAGATCAGCGTGAAGCTTCTGCACTTCGTGATGAAGTAAGTCATTTCCATTTATCTATTTCTGTCTTGACGTTTGACTGTTACAGCGATCAGATATGTTAGGCTTATACAAGTTCTCTAAGCTGCATAATTTGAAATGTATTTATGCCTGTGAGGGTACACTAATCTTTTTATATGATTTGTTTAAACTTAAAATCTAATTTTTGAAGCAGTTGGTTTGAAGCTAATGTATGCTATGTTGCAGCTTGATATGCTTCAAGAAGAGAATGAGAATCTACTTGACAAGGTGCACTATTCCAGCCTAAAGAATTAAGGATTAGTTACTATGGTTGTGTTATTTGTGACATGTAGAATTTATCCCTATGAACGCTGTACAGCTTCGTTCTGCAGAAGAAAGACGTGAGGAAGCAGAAGCAAGAGCTAGGGAGCTTGAGAAACAGGTTGGTTAGTCTTCTTTTTTATTTTTTGGCTGCAAGATCTTCTCTGCTTGCTTGGTAGGGTGTGGATGGCTTACCCTATTTCAATCTGTAGCATCATCTGAGTTGTTTCGCCAAATGCTTGTAATCTATGAAGCATACTTGTTGATCTGGGGCACTTATGTGATTTAAACATGATGACATGAAATTTCCTAAATGCATATGGGTAATACTTAAGATGTTTTTTTTGTTGAATTATCACATATCCTGCAGCCCCAGCTTTGACTACCGATGCTTATACATTTTTGTTAAACGGCTTAAATTGTGTATTTGGTGAAATTAATCACATAATTTCGTTTCTCCAACTTTCAAGGTGCCTATTTACATTCTTGGTTCCTGATATTTAAACAGTAATGAATTATGTATGAGGAAGAATCTTTATAGTTGAGGTGTTCACTATATGTGGGACATTGACATAAATCACTTCAATAGGCATTTGCTTGAACAAGCATATTCAGGTAGTCATGTTAAGTGATTTTTATAACTTGTGAACATGTTGTAACATCGTTGATGTCTGATTGTATTCAGCATTTGAGTTGTGAGTATGCCTTAAATGGCTAAATATTTACTGTTTGTTCCTACATTCATACGGTTGCTTACTCTTTAAGTTCTATGTTAACAGGTTGCTTCCTTAGGAGAAGGTGTATCTTTGGAAGCCAAATTATTAAGTAGGTAAGTCTTGAGTATTTTGCATTTGTTGGTTGTGTTATTTAATGTCACTGTTATGATTCTGTGTGGTTTTTCTGCAGGAAGGAAGCTGCTTTGCGTCAAAGAGAGGTAAACTGATTTTTATACTGGTTGAGTGTAGAGATAGGTTGGACCATATTTAGCTTACTTCTTTTATTTTCTTCTGGCTCATGAATCAAATAATTATGCGGCTACTTGACCTTTATTTCCTATTTTAGTTGTTTGCCTAGAACAACAGTATCAGTTATATCTTTTTGTGTCTCTTCTCTCTCTCTCTCTCCCCCCTCCATCCCAGCTGATCCAGAAGTGCTAATTTTAGTTCTTTGTTACTTTATTTAAACTGTAAAATATTATTACTTGCAGGCAGCGCTCAAGGCTGCAAAACAGACAAAGGATGGGAGGGAGGAGGAAATTGCAGCCCTTCGTTCAGAACTTGAGGTAAAGGGTGCCAATGATGCTCGTACCACAGAAGTGTGTTGATGCGGATAGTAATTTTATGCCTTTCTTTTGAACAGAATTTGAAGGATGGGGCTGCAACAGCCGTGGAACAGGTCCATGAAGCAGAATCTGAAACAAAAGCTCTTCGCTTAATGACACAGAGAATGATTTTGACTCAGGAAGAGATGGTTTGTCCATTTATGTTCAAGTCACTGTTATTGCTACATGCTTAAATTCTAACCGTACACTAAATCTACTTTGTAGGAGGAAGTTGTCCTGAAGAGATGTTGGCTTGCTCGTTACTGGGGGTTGGCTGTACAGCATGGTAATCAACTATTACAATCTTCTTTAGGAAGGAATTGATTTACATCTTAATTATACTAGATGAGATGCATCGCAAAGTGAGAACTTGATCACATATCTGTCATATACTGTGCCTCTGGTGTAAAAGTTTTGACCATCTCTAAGATTAGCATTCTAGGATCTTTGTTGAAGGTATGACATGATCCGTTCTTGGTTCTTTTTAACCTAAGATATGAATTATTAATGGACCTATATTTGTTGTAGATTGTGGATTCCAACTTTGCTATTATCCTGTTTCTTATTTATGGATCTATGTTGGTAGTTCATCTTATCTTCTTCTTTCTATACTTTTGCCAGCCAGTATTGTCATCCTCGTACTAATCCTCAGCCTTTTCATTTCATTCCTTTGGTGGTGGAATTTTCATTTTTAACTTTTACAAAATTGATTTATCCTAATTGTTCTTAAAGCAGTCATCTTGTCATTTATTTCGTGATATGATTTGCATTTTTTCTGCAATTGCTACTGGGTTTTGCAGGCATATGCGCAGATATAGCAGTGTCAAAGCATGAATATTGGTCGGCATTAGCTCCTCTTCCGTTTGAAGTTGTTGTTTCGGCGGGACAGAAGGCTAAAGAGGAGTCCTGGGATAGAGGCTAGTTCAATTTCTGACCATATCCCATTACTCCCTCTATTTTATTTTATTTTTTATGCTGACCTATTAAAATTGTAGCAATGGTACAGGTGGTGGTGATCCAGACCGGAGTAAACTTGTTCGGGATTTGAATGATCTGACAGGAGAAGGAAATATTGAGAGTATGCTTTCGGTTGAAATGGGCCTAAGGGAATTAGCATCTTTGAAGGTTGATTATTTTTTGGAAAAGGAAAAACTACATGTTTAATTTTTTTTTCCTGATTCATTTGCATCTCATTTAGTATCTATGTTTTTTCCTGGATGTTTTACATTGATTCTTCTTTATGAATTAATATATTCCATGTTATATAGTTTATTCCTTGCACATTAATATTAAGAATTTTGTATTAGTAATACTTTTTCCCCATCCATTATGAATTTACATGAAGTACGTTTTTAGTTTTTATTATTACTTATGCATTTAATGTCACTTTTGTAAAGTACTGCTTTACACAGTTATTTTTATTTGATGCTCACTGCTATTTTCAGGTTGAAGATGCTGTTGTACATGCTTTGGGCAAGCACAGACGACTGAGTTTCCTTCATCAATCCGTTGCAGGTTTGCTTTATATATGTCACTTGCAAGTGTTTCTTTGTTATATGAGTAATCAATCTAGTTGGATGAACTTAATTTCTCACTATTTATGTTTTCCCCTTATTAATTCCTTGAGTTTGCCAAAGCTTTCATTTCCTTGTTTAACATTCCTAGCTTTTATTTCACTTTATCTTGCATTTAGGTTTGACTTTAATTAAAATGGAGTGAAATTAGTGACACTTCTCTTCACTTTTTCTTTCTGAAGAAACAGTGATCAATTCTCTTCTTTTTTTTTTTAACTGAGGCCTAAGCTGTGATAATTTTTTTTTTCTTTAACTTCTTTGGCAGCAAGTCTTTCCCTTCGACAATTACATCTATGAGAAATAAGTTCTATTCTGATATCAGCAAAATATTATGTTTGGGGATTTATCTTTTTTACTTCTTTTATTTGATTTTCAGATTCCAAATCACCTGGTGATCCCAAGTTGATAGATGCATTTGGTAAGACAGACACTCTTTATCTGTCATCATGCATTATCATATTTAGGGCATGCTTTTATGTTGGTTGTAGGAAATGCTGGCCTCAGTTAAAAGAAGATTCAGTGGTTTCTGTAAATCTTTTTGGTCTTTTGTAATAAAGTGTCTTTAAGTTGTTTTTGCCTTCAACTGCAGAACTAAGTGAAGAGGAGGGAGAAGATGTTCTTTTCAAAGAGGTTAGTTACTTTCTTCGTACAAATACTTTGCATGCCGGTTGTCATGTGAACCTTCAGTGTAAAATCTCTTTTCTCATTCTCTGATGATCTTAACCCCCTTGCCTTCTATCAGCTGTTATCAGATCATTGTTAATTTGTATAGATCAAATTTAGCTTTGTTATTTCTTCTATCTCTCTCTCGTGGTTAGTTGGAGCTTATTCAGAGTCTCCACTCTTTTCACACCTCCGTATCTATTTCCAAAAGACAAACACATTGTTTGTTTTGGTAAGAGTTGATGTATGTTATTAACTTTATGCTGTGATAACCAGTTATATGCCCAAGATCATCATTTGTCCTTGTATGTTATTAACTTTATGCTGTGATAACCAGTTATATGGGTCTTGCAGATTGATTATCAATGAATTAGAAAGGCAATATTCTCAACAAAAAAAATTACCCATCAATTAACTGCCTCTGGCCTTATCTTGCTGTAGAAAGCTTGTTTTTTGTCAGAAATTCTTGTTTTTATAATTTGAAAAATTGTTTTAGGCTTGGTTAACATATTTTTGGAGAAGAGCCAAAGTACATGGTGTGGAAGAGGATATTGCAGAAGAGCAGCTTCAGTTTTGGATCAGACGTAGTGGGCAGTCCCCTACTTCACACGATGCTGTGGATGGTAAGCCCAATGTTTTAATTTGGTTTTGTCTATCTTAAAAAACATCACATGGTGATGAACTTTAAGTAAATCTCAAAGACTCCGTTGGTTTTGTGACAAAATTTCCTTCTACAGGCATAATCTGTCTTTTTTTTTTCTAAGTGATGTCAAACATATTTTTGTTTTGCTTCCCTTTTTTTTTTTCTCGTTTTTGTTTTGTGAGAAGAAAAAAAAGAAGAGAGGAGGGGTGGGGCGAGCCAAAAACTAAAGGTAGGCTAACTCATTGTTGATAAAACAAGAAGGTAAGCCAAACTCTGACAAAGTAGCAGCTACCCATCTGCGCATTACTCATTATTTAACTTTCTTATTAAGTTGTGACTCACTGTCATTGATGAATGCAATTGTATATGGGGACAACTTTAGAAAAAGGCAAAAACCAGCACATGGTTTGGGTTAGATCTTAAAACATTATTTAAGCCTAGGTTGGACTTTGTCTGTGAAGTTGCATCTCTTATCTCACGGCAAACTATTTGCATCTCATAGAAGAAGTAAAAAACCTCAAATTATTCTTGTGAATCTCATAGTAGAAGTAACGAACCTCAAGTTATTTGTTGTATTGTAATTTGTGATGCTACCTTCCTCATTATCACATCCTCTCATCTTGGGCAGTGCAAAATGAATTTGGTTTATAGAAAGAAACATATAGAAGTGAAACCATCACATACGGGGAGAGAAAAGAGTGATTGATGAATGTTAAATGCACCTTTTTTTTTTTTGCTCAAAATTGAATGTGCCATTTCCACTGATTGAAATTCATACTTTGCTTGGATCATGTGCTATCTGGCAGTCAATCGAGGTTTATTTGAGCTTCGTAAGTTGGGGATTGAACCGCAACTCTGGGAAGCATCTCGTAAAGAAATTGACCAGCCATCTGCTGCTTTGTTGTCTAACCACAAATATTTGGAGGACTCGTGATTTGTTTCATCCTCACCTCATCTTCCCTTCTCTTTTTTTGCTGTTTTTATAAGTTTGCATCAATTTTAAGTTTGTATATCTTTTCTTCAATTTTTTTTCATATTAATTTTATTATAGCTTGCTTAAATTTCACATTTTTGCTTTCTTGTCTTTGGTGTAATTCAACGACGCGATACCTGGTGTAATAGATCTTGAGACTAGTTTGCGCTTCAAATGAAAATCCTCAGATTTTGTTACGTGATTTTCTAATCAAGGACCAGGTCATTTCGCTTGTAATCTGCTACACTGTGTGTTGGTGCCTGTGGCAATGCCCGTGTTTCAGCTGAACTAAAGTGGGTGTCTGTCCATGTAAAAGCGAAATTAGGGTTGCCCATACATGGGGCTATAGGGTAGGCGATTAACCGCCGTCATCGTCATTACAATGACCCCAACGTGAACTTCCGTTACCTAGGCAGACATCCGTAATTCCAGATCAACCTATTTTTTCCGGTGAACTGCCCTCCTTGACTTGAGTTGAGACTAAAACTCTGTCGCTCTCTGTTGCTTTCCAAGCTTTTGTTGTACTTGCGTGTCGTGTGACCACGTTCAACACTTTTGAGTCCCGTGCCTTGCTGTCCTTGCACATCATCACATTCTCTATCAATGTCTGTGAAATTGCATGACAATGATAACATGATTAATTATTTCTCTTACGTTTGAGGAAAAGTTATAATGGTTTTTAAAAAAAAAAATCAGTATTTCATTCTCGTATAAAAAGTAGGGGAACTGATTTTGCTATTAAGCCCGCAGCTGATGCTCCTTTAGGCTTTTGCTTACCGTTTAATTGATAACTAGTAAAATTCTGTGCGTTGTAGTGAGTGTAAAACCTTTGTTAATAAGATAGACAAAATTTTTTTTTTTATATTATGTGTAGGAGTTATAATTTTTGTAAAGCTAAATAAAATAAAGTAAACATAATTTGATTGATCAAATCATATTTTTTTTCTCTTCGTTTTATTACAAATCAATTTTTTTTTGAAATAATGAAAATGAAAAAGAAAAGAAACAGTAAAGGAGGGAAGAAAAATAGAAGATGAGGGAATATTAACAACAATAAGAATAAACCATGTTTACCTTTTTCGAAGTTTTTGTCTCTTTTGACCTTTCGCCCAACCTTTTTAGTTTTGACTTCTTTATCGGGCGATTCCTGCCAGAGTACTTCTCGAACAAGCAGCTCTCTCTCTCTCTCTCTCTCTCTCTCTCTCTCTCTCTCTGTCTGTCTATGAAATCTTGATGGGCTCTCATTGAAATTTGGGCTCAGTAAGAATATGATATGCTACAAAAAGAAGGCTTTGTGGCTGGGCCTTGTAGCATTGGGCCCTGTTGTAATATTAGCCCGCAACGTCAATTAGGAAATTAATCATCATCATGAGATTTTATTGAAAATAAACTTACCCCATTACTTTAAAAGAAAAAATCCTCTTTTTTATCTCTTTTGAAAAATTAACTGATGTTAGTATTCCATTAATCGAACTAATATTTGTTCAAAGTTTACTTTAAATACTAAAAATACAAATATTTTGTTTATTTCTTTTTTTCCCTCATTTTTTTCATTCTTCTGTCTTAATTTCTTTATCACTAAACACTCTTTTTTCAAATTATTGATAATTGAAAATTTTAATTAAAGATATATTATCTTAAAGTTAATATATAATTGAATTAAATATAAGTTTAAAATATTTAATATGTAATTGAATTAGAATACAGCTTATTAAAGAAAGTACCTTTCAAACTAAGGAAAAAATGTAGGTTCTCTACCAAATCTCCAAAGACTTTTGTATTTTTCCCTAATATTTACTCGACTTTAGCTGGAATAATTGACGATTTGGGGTGTAAGTAATAATCTCTTTTAATAGAAATATAAATACCAAGAATTGAGATTAGATCGAACCCTTTGAACAAAATCATGTTAAGCCAACTTGTCTAATATGGAATGCGTGACTAGGCATTACACCAATCAGTCTCACCAGTGAGAAAAAGAAAAGGAAAAGTAGTTGTTCCATAAAAGAAAATAAGAAAAGCCAGGGTGCTTTTCTCCTCCTCTGCGACTTAAATTAATACAGAAAAGAAGAAAGCAAGGCTAAAAGTGAGCATGGAAAGAAGAAAGTGAAGCTTTGCTTTTATTGTAAGAGTTCAAAAAGTCATATTATTTATCTGATATCTCCAGACACATTTTCCAACTCCGATGCTCCCAACAACTTCCCCATTCACCCTTTTTAGTTTAATTTAATCCTTAAACAAGCTCTACCATAATACCATTTCAAATGCGCCCAACCCCCTTTTTAATTTACTTGTAATTGTCCAGTCTTTTTCTCCCCCTTCAAAGGTAGCAATAAAACCATATATCAATATCAAGTATGAAAAGTGAACAGCCTTTGATTTGCTTTGGTTGAGAATGATGAAATAGGATTCCCAAAAATCTTTGACATTTTGGCAATGCAATGATGGAAAATAAGGAAGAACAGGCTTCCAGATTGGGTCCATTTTCTCTTTCTTTTTTTTTTTTTTTTTTAATTTTCATCATCTTGGGTGCAAGTTGGAAAGCAAGATGTTGGGGTACCAAACATGAAACAAGTAAACAAGAGATGGAATTTGTCCTCTTGCTCTTTGTTTCTTGGTTTGTTCATTCTTTTTCTCTTATTTTTTGAGGAAACAAACCCCACTTTGAAGCAGAAGAAGCTTTTTTTATACAGTGGTCCAAATGCATATTCAATCATTTGTCATATAAATTTCTAGTTTCTCACATTCATGGCATCCTATACTGGTTTATTGGCATTTTCCTTTCATTTGCTTGTGTTTATTAACCCAGACCCTACTCAACCAACTGCATTAATAATTTGCACTCTTTTCTGTTTTTCATTGTTTTCTCCTTAAAATATCACTCATTTAATTTCAAATCTCACATGGCATAGTAAAAAATTCATGATCAACCTAATCATATATACTTACCAAGCACATTGGACCATTTCAGTTGTTTTCAAGTGTAGTAATTTTGGTAGGGAAAGGGAAGAGAGGGAGGGGAGGGAGGGAAGAGGGTCCCTCTAGGAAGCCATGCTACATTGTTCTGAAGCTATAATGGGGAACATGTGGAGTGTGAAGTGCAGGGGCTTGAAAAAGGATAAAAGAAAAATTGCAGCAGATAAAAAGCTTAGAAACCTCATTATTATAAGAAACCCAATGAGAACAACTACATCAACATGTAAGCACATAAAGAAATTGTGTTCGATTGTGAGCAAAAAGATTAGACTGCTTGCTGTTGTCCACTAAACTTCTATTTATTTCTGTAAATCAGGATCCACGTCAGTCAGCCTAAACATATACTCGATTAAAGATTTTACTGCAATGCAATACTTGATTAGACTTTTACCTTTTGTTTTTGTATCAAGACAAGTACAGGAACGGATCTCTAGGGAGAATCCCCAGCTAAATATGCCTATTGTTTGTTTGTTCGTAAACAGCTATGTAGCATAACTTGATTAGTTTTTTCAGGTATGGTGACTGGTGTCACCAATATACTGTACTAGACAAGTCTTGCTTAATCCGAAAACAATCCCAGTGATTTAGACAGAAGGGAATCGTGCATTTGCAAATTTCCTAGAAATCTTCCTTACAGTGAACAGTCTTTCTGTCAAATCTAACAATATTCAGAAAATCAGAAGAACAGATATGGGGTTGTACTTTTAAATCAAGAAAAGTTGATCAATCCAGCCATTTGTTGAAAAAACAAAAATGAACCATGGAATCACTGTTGGCCTTGGACCTGCCGATAAACGGTCAGGATGCTGTCGTCCTCTTAAGAATATTAGGAAGCGAAATTTCTTTTAACTAGGTGGTAAATGCTAGTCGTTTTCAGATACTTGAAATTTTCCGAGAAATGGAAAGTTATCCTGTAAAGCCACTTTCTAAGGAACATGCTCTATGTTTCCCTAGTCAAAAGGGATATTCAAGTTATTTTGTGGTGGCCTTGCTGGTTCAACTCTAGAGAAAAAACACAATAAAACAAAAGCAGCATAACTGTAATATCTCAGAACCAATTCAGATTTCAGAACCTCTTATCTAAAGCAGCTCAGGTCCCAGATTCCATTCTCTTTTCTCTTTCAAACCAGCATCATATACTGACTCGGACCAAATATAAGCACAGACTCCAGCCAGGGTCTCTCAGACATCTCTTTCAACCCCATTTTCGTGCCTACAAGCAAAAAGCTAGACTTGTAATGATAATAATAAAGGAAAAAAAAAAAAACAACTCCAGCTATTTATTTAGTACCCACATCTTATCCTCTAGTCCTCCACCTAGCAGTTCGCTAAACAGTCCTTCTCTCGGTTATCTCTCCACTCTTGATTCCTGAAACTATGTACTCTTCATCATGGAAAGCCATGTTAATTGCTGTAGCAATGCTACAGCTGTGCTTTTCCATGGAGGTTGAATCTTCTTTAGCTCACCCTGATAAAATTGTTAGGCTCCCAGGCCAACCCCGTGTGGGCTTTCAACAGTTCTCGGGATATGTTAATGTGGACGAGAAGAAGCATAAAGTCCTTTTTTACTACTTTGTAGAAGCAGAAATAGATGCAGCTTCAAAGCCTTTAGTCCTTTGGTTGAATGGAGGTCTGCATTTTCTTACTTACTTCACTACAAATTTGATAGACCCTCAAAAGAAGCTCAAGTCTCAGAATGTGTACTGCTGAAATGAACAACATTCTTCCATTTCACGATGTGGCTGCTGTAAAATTTTGGGTGTCTGATGCCATGTATTACTGCTTGTTTCCTACAGGGCCTGGTTGTTCTTCCGTTGGAGTAGGGGCATTCTCTGAAAATGGGCCTTTCAGACCCAATGGAGAGGTTCTTGTTAGAAACGACTACAGCTGGAACAGAGGTACTACAAAATTTTACTCTTTATCTCATTTGTATAGTTGATCGATGATGATAAATAAGCAACTGATTATTTTTCAACTCCATCTGCTGTGGCAGAAGCTAATATGTTATACTTAGAGACACCAATTGGAGTGGGGTTCTCTTATTCCACTAACAGCTCCTCCTATGTAGCAGTGGATGATGAGACCACGGGTATCTTCCTTACCTGATTCATTCCTTTTTCTTGACTGGTAGAGGTATCTTTAAATGTTCATCTACACCAATAACTTTTATCCAAGTCTCTCTCTTCCGCTTCTGAAATTAGGATTTAATTTAATGGTTTGCGAATAGTAATGGGTAGCCTTGGAGTTATGGGGAGGACAGCTTACAGCTGCTTTACTGCATTCTCTGGACATCTTCCTTTAGATGTTGTAGTTTGTTCGAAAGGACTGAAACAGTCCATTTTTGCTCTGGCATTTGAGAAAAGTTTACAGATAAAGCACTAATTTCCGGCTGAAGAAACACTGAAACCGTTCTTCTGTTACTTCTTTTTGGGAGCATATAACACCTTTTGCCTTTGGGTACTTTACATGGAGGTTCTTAAGCTTTTATTTGTTTATTTAAGTCTTTACTCTCCGGATTTTCCAACATTTTTTGTGTGTAAGACTTCAAGTAAAGAGGGTTATTTTCCTTTACCCTCAATGGACTTAAGAGTTCTATATCTTATAATCTAAAGTCATCTTTTCTTTAATTTTCTCAAGCCAGGGACAATCTTGTATTCTTGCAACGCTGGTATAACAAATTTCCAAATTACAGGCAGAGGGATTTGTTTATAACGGGAGAAAGCTATGCAGGTACTTTTACCTGTATTCCAATTTCATGTATTGTGAATTTGATACAAATGATGATTGATCTTGATTTACTACTTTTTGTTGGCTTACTGATATCAGGCCATTACATTCCCCAACTTGCAAAGCTTATGGTCGAACTCAATAAGAAGCAGAATCTGTTCAATTTGAAAGGAATTGCGGTGAGTATTACTATGTACAATGCAACTTTGCATGAGAAAGAAATAGTAACAACTTGAAGATATCTTGCATCTAAGAGAACAATTTCATCCTTTGCAGCTAGGTAATCCCGTTCTGGAATTTGTCACTGACTTCAATTCAAGGGCTGAATATTTCTGGTCCCATGGGTTAATATCAGACTCAACTCACAGAATGTTCACTTCTGTCTGCAACTATTCTCGATATGTCAGCGAGTACTACAGAGACTCAGTTTCGCCTTCCTGTTCGAGGGTGATGAGCCAAGTAAGCCGAGAAACCAGTAAATTTGTGGACAAATATGATGTTACTCTTGACGTCTGCATATCATCGGTGCTCTCACAATCAATGGTTCTAAATCCACAGGTAACTTTTCCCTCCAAGGTCAATTGCATTTTATTGCATATTTTTCCAATATGGCTCACTTGATATTAACTAAAAGTCTTTTGTTTTACCTCGCAGCAAGTATCTGAAAGAGTAGATGTATGTGTTGAAGACAAAATTGTGAATTATCTGAACCGGAAAGATGTCCAGAAAGCTCTTCATGCTCGGCTTGTTGGAGTTCGCAGATGGGCTGTCTGCAGCAAGTAATACTTCTTGATTAAGCTAAAGATATATATTAAATATAAGAAAGCTTTCTGAAAAATTGATCCTATCTATCTATAGACCATCAACTTTCCAAAGGCTTGATAAGGATGTCAAACCAAACTATTTATAGGAAAATCTAGGATTTGCTTATAATAGTAAACATCATAGGAGTTTCCAGAATGCATCTGTTCTTTAAACATAGTTGTAGGGACAAAGTTTCCCCAGTCTTCTTCAGTTGAAAGTCAGCTACCTCCGAAAGAGTTCTATAGATAATTAACCAACTGAACTGGATTTTTCAATCATGACTTAAAGCTTCTCCAAGTAAATTTTTATTCCTCTACTGTGTTGATGACAGCATATTGGATTATCAGCTGCTCAACCTGGAGATCCCTACAATCTCTATTGTTGGTTCACTAATCAAGGCTGGAATCCCGGTCTTGGTTTACAGGTAATGTAATCTAAATGTCGTATAGACTTAACAACATCATAAAGCCCTTGCGGCTTTTAAGTTTGATACTATCTTACAGTGGAGATCAGGACTCTGTTATCCCATTGACTGGAAGCCGCACCCTGGTAGGTGGACTGGCAAAGGAGTTAGGATTGGAAACAACTGTACCGTACAGAGTTTGGTTTGAAGGGAAGCAGGTATTTTCATTAATAAAGCAGGAAAATGACTTCATTTCTTTATGATGGCAGCAACAACTTGCTGACATTAAATATAATTTGACAAAAATAAATGACATAGTGCCTCCAACATAATTTTAAAACTATTTTATCAGGTTTGTGGTTTCTTACTTCTTTTCAGGTTGGTGGCTGGACTCAAGTTTATGGCAACATCCTCTCGTTTGCCACAATCAGAGGGGCTTCTCATGAAGCTCCTTTCTCACAGCCTGAGAGGTCGCTCATGTTATTCAAGTCATTCCTTGAAGGGAAGCCACTACCAGAAGTTTTTTGAATCAAACTTTATTTTCCAAAATAATTTGTTTGAGACCGCAAATCTGTGTGTCAAGTTGCTTAAAAACACTTGAGCAATGTTTGATTCCAGAGAAAAAGGAAGAAAAAAAAAGTTGAGTGAAATATTTTTTATCTGGTTTTGTTGGGTGCAATGGATCCTTCCTAGCTGAGACAAATCTTGTAAATAGGTGTCCAGACTAATCAGAAAATGCCTTTTTCTAGCCGAAGATGAAAGTACTTCCTTTTGCGTTATTTTTCCTGCTAAATCGGTTGATCTTGTGTGAACATTTTCATCACCACATATGTTAAAAGCTTCCAACTTCCTAGCCTCCATCATTTTGATCTTTTTCTCTATACCAGAAATCAAGATAAACCTCCAATTGCAGTGAAGGAAAGGGACCAAAAAGGAAGACTCCCATTAGGGAGAACGAAAAGGCTAATAACAACCCAATATCTCCTGCCGCCTCTCGACCACCCCAAAGTTGATGGAAACCACTATAACAGCCAATCATTTTCTATCAAAACGAAGGAATCTTTTAGTCCCAAATCGTACAAACGAACCAGTCTCTTGAGTGTCTCTACACTCGCCGTAGTTTAGTTCATACAACATTCAATGGGAAACGACAAGAAAAGCAGAGACCAAGCACCATGATCTGACAATAAACGAGTCTCGTAGCATGTCACAAGTCCTGAATACATGTCTTCCCTGAATTTTCCGCCTGTCACATGTGAAATCCCATCTTCAAATGTACAATCAGTGATGTAAGGAAAAAGAGAAGTAAAACATTTGCAAGTGCAAGATGTAGGGGACCACATGAAATAAAAGTAGCAAGAATAAGGAACTGCACGACCCCTCACCACGGGTCCTGGTGAAGGTGACCCGGAAACTAACTATTAGAGCGTGAGTGCCATCATCATTGCAGAAAAGCAAAAGAAACCCAACTTTGATGATTTCCGGCAAACCGACCAGCCTCCCACCACCATCCATTTTGCAGTCGACTTTTCTAGTTTTCTGTTTCTTTTTTCTTTTTGGCTACTGATTTAGTGCTGCCTTAGTGAAGAAACGGTTAAAGCTTTCACTGCCTAATTTAATAACCACCCACTTCCAATCTGAAAAAAGTGGGATCTCCTTCTTCCTTTCCTTGAAAAAAGCAGAACTATAAACTACCCATCCATCCCTTTTTTCCTCTCTTTCTCTTTCTATAATTTGACTACTCAGCTGTACCCTTGGGCCTTGGCCTCCCATTGTTTCAATACTAACCAAAGAAAAAAAAGGACACAAAAACAGAATGGCACAACCCCAAAAAGAAAACCCTGCTGCAATCATCAACTCTCTACACCTCCAGGTAATAAAAAAAAAATCTTTTTTTTAAAAATCCACATCATTGCTCTTCTGTATAAAGCCCAGATTAACAGAGGAAAAAAAAAGGAACTGTCCTTTTTCTTGCTTGGAATTTTAACTTAAATCTAGGGTTTTGAATTTTCCATTCCCATTTCTTTGATCATTATAAATTATATATGCAAGAATTACAGGAAAAAGAGGAAGAGAAAGAGCTCGACCTCGGATCTGACGAACCTGACGCCCCATTGCCCTTAACCGTCACTTCCCGGGTAAAAGAGAATTGGCATTGTTCTTTTTTGGTGTTAGAAGCCTAAAGATCTTTTTTTTTTTTTAGTAATGTGGAACTGGAATGTGCAAAAAAAAAAAATGATGCAGGTATTGTATATGTTGGGAGATATAACGGCAGGTCCGGCTTATCGGTTCACCCAATGGTTGGAACTGGTTCGTAAACGGAGCGGGAAATACCGATCCTCTGGCTTCCCTAACCGTCCCAACAGGCTCGACAGTATGGCTTCTAGGTACACTATTTGATTCATTTTAGTTCCAATTGTTGATCACTAGCAATATTTCAATTGTGATGCTAATTTATGAATTTATGAATTTTGTTTTGATTAGCATTGCCTTGATAATTATGGACTAACAATGCTGCTTAAGTTTTACTAAGTTGTGTTGAAGTTTGTTTTTGGGTTTTATTGGAAAAGCCCACTCACTTTGCTTTTATCTGTGATTTCGTCTTGGATTCTTTCTTTTGTCCTATTAGGAGGACGGGGGCGTTTCAGTTTGGTAGTAGTGATATTTTAGACAGCATGTTATAATTTCGACTATGGTCATTAAGAAAGGAGGAAATTTTACATCAGCCATTGATATAAATGCACTTGGAAGTTCTTATTTTGATTTGGATGTTCATTTTTAAATCAACATTTGATTAGGTTATAACCAATGATTTGACCATCCAACAATTGAATATTAGTTTGTACTAGAAGGAAATTGGTGTGTCAAAATATTATGGATGAGATTTTTCTTTGTTACTTGCTCCTCACTGTTATTATTATTCAGTGCAGAAGACTCACCTGTTGATTCACCAAGTCTTCTGCCCACTGAGCATCCTCCAGAAATCAATTTGTGGGAAAGACTAGGTAAAGCTGCAGTTTTGGACATCGAATCAAGCTCTTTTTCCTGGGACATGCTTTCGTCACTTCACCATACGGAGCATAGTAGTAGCACTGACCATTCTGAGGATGAACAGAATAAAGCCCTTGAGGTGTGTGATACAGTTTAATCATTAGAGGTGGAATGACATCTTTCTTCATCTTTATGTCAGCATTCCAGAAGTATTGTGAGGACAATTGCTAACAACAACGGAACTTTAAATGCTTTTCCTTAACTGCTGCTAATCTTTTACTTGCTAATCAGGTCTTTCCTACATGGGACTGCAATGCATCTAACTTCAAATAAAATACTATTCTTTTTTATTTCTTCAACTGGATTAGTTTATTTAATAGTATGAGATAGTTTTCAGATGCCAATAAAAGGAAAATATTCATAAATATTGAAAGTGTCAAACTGCTAGAGTTTGTATAATAAGTTCCATGTATTTTGTGTGCTCAAAACTCTGCTGTGTGTTCATGTAGCAAGAGTGAAAACTTTGACTGACTCATGGATAAGTTACTTCCTAGTTAGTTATATTCTCATCTACCACCTAATTTTATCTTCAGTTGTCTGCATTTAGGTTACGGTAAATTCTGGAGGAGTTGTTTTTTTTGCATTATTCAACCAGCCTGGGGTTGATGATACTTCTCCAAAGGAAGCAGCAGCTGTTATAAAGTTTTCGTCTTCAAGGATGGCCATGCAATCAGAACGCCTCGGTTACGAGTTTGCGAAGTGGCTTGGAATCCAGACTCCTCAGGTTGAACCTCTATACACCAGCTGTCCTGTATTTCTAACATATTTGGCTATAATTCCACCCTTACATCGAACACTCTGTTGAATGCTTTGTGTTTTATTTTGTTTTTTGTTTTCTTTTTCTTTTAACTCTTCTTTTAATGATCACTGATTCTTTTGCAACAGGCTAGAGTAATTCATAATTCTAGCCTAGAGTGGTTCCGGATAAAGGAAGCTGCACAGAAAGCAAGAATTACAGCAACCTCAGAAGGAGATGAAGTAGGTGAAGTCACATGTTCAGAGCTTTTGGAGGCACTAGACCTTAGCCGATGCCTTTTTCTGATGAGGTGAGAATAAGACCTGGATTTGTAAGACTGTAAGGGTTGTTAAATCAGCTGAGGATGTGGTTATGGCCATATGATTCCACTGATTGGTGCATAACTGAGAGCCTTAGAAAGTTTGTACTTCAAAAGATTTTGTATCAAGCAATATATTGTAGGGTTATCTCCAAGGCAGGAGCAACTGGTTCATGATTGCTGCAAGGGTACTTTATTATTAGTGCACACAGTAGTCATCCAGGGCTTGTTTGGATAAAATTAGAGAGCAATTAGAGAAGAAATCTTCACATGCAAGGAAAATAGTTACATTCTTTATGCAGCATTTTGAATTTTAAGAACCATGTCTTTTGCAGTTATGTTCATGGATCCCCTTTGTTGGAAAGCGTAAATGCCTTTGATTCAAAGGAGACTGCAGAAAGAACTGCAGCAGCTCTCGGTAGGGTCTTGATGTTGGACCTTGTCATCAGAAATGAAGATAGACTTCCTTCCCGTGAACTAAGATGGCGTGGAAATCCTGCAAATTTGTTGTTAGCAGACAAAACAAGCTCTGCAAATATGGGTTCTTTGGATGAAGCATTTGACTCTGCAATCAAGCGATTCCGCCCTAGGGTAATTAGAGCTATTCAAAAGGAACGAAGGGCATCTTCAGTTGACAGCAGATTAAGCCCTCATAGTCCAGGACTGGTATCACAGAGCTCTGATCTTTCTGAAATTACAGAATCACCTAAATCTAGTGACATGAGTATAGTAAGTCCAACATTCAGTGAATCATTCCATCCTGGTTTCCACATTGTGGCAATAGACTCTGGTGTACCACGTCGACCTCCTGTTGGAAAACGTGCAAATGACCAAGTAATTTATCCTAAATTGGTTGAGTTACTTCTCAATAGTTCCAATTACTCCTTCAACTTGTTACATGATATAACATGTGGGAAATTAGGATCTGCTTCACCAGAAGATGCTGATACAACTGATATACGGGGGACTGAAATGACCTCAGTTGTTCAAGAATTTCGTAGTGGGTTCCGTGCAGCTTTAAGGGATCTGCAGGGATTCCATATATTCCTGCTCACACTTCATCAAAAGCTAGATAGCTTGTTACGTCAATTTCTGACTATTATAAATAAGACATCAGGGGACTTTGATAAGGAGGACTTAGCAGTTCCTGAGTCACCGTTGCCTCCTCCTTGCCTTGGAGGTGTTGCTTCCCCGCCTACTCCAAGTAAGGAGCGAGTCCTCAGTGATAACCGATCAGATTATAGTGATTCAGAGTTACAGAGAACGGCTCCAAAATCATCATCTTCAGGGCACAGAGAAAGCATGGACTCTAGTTCTCCAATGTCACGAGAAGGCTGGCATGGAAAGTTCTACAAAGGTAGTGGAGAGCCCCTTCGTAGCTTGCGTTTGACTGCAAAGCTCCGAGACTTCCATAAGTTTGCCAAGGTTTGTTGTACTTGTAAACAAAATGGAATGTCATTTTACAAAACAAAGTTTCAGTGGAATATAGATATGTCAAACAACTTATGGCAATTACTGAAGTGCCATTGGATATTTTATGTTAAGGTCTCATCTTGAAAAGAGTAAATGCATGGGTTGAGTCTTTTATACTAGCCACTCTCGTAGAAAAATATGAAAAGGATAGAACAACATATTGGATTCCTGTCACAGACCCTACTTTGACAGGATTAATGCTGACTATCAGTGTTTATGACTTTTAACAATGACATCATGCAGGTAGGGAGTGTAAAATCATTTTAATGAGATTTGATTGCTTGTTTAGCTGTTATGCTACGAATTTGTGTAAAAATATGTTTTCTAGCATAGTTTTTGGTAGTTTCCACTCTGCGGAAATGTATTAACTTTTGTGCTAGATCAAACTTTGCTTTGTAATGCTTCATTGTTTAATACTATTTTTGCTCTCAGGTTGATGCTGAATCAGGCAGAGATTTGGAACAGTGGAATGAAATGCTAAAAAATGATGCTGTTAAACTCTGCCAGGAGAACAGTTTTAATACAGGATTTTTTGAGGGTAGTGATAATAACAGTGTTGTTGATGCTTATGAATTGAAGGTAATACCTTCTTTCAGCTCCTTGGCCTTCTTTCTATGTAGCTCGCAAATATCTTTACTTCAGCGTTTGAGGTATCATTCTGTAGATGCTAATTGTCATATGTTTTTTTTTGTTATTATAACATACAGGTTAGGCTTGAGCACATTCTTGAGAGGATAGCATTGATATCTGAGGCTGCTAATACAGAGAAGCCATCTTTAATTACTAGTAGCTTGCTCATTGGTGGGGCACTGGCTGCAAGATCTGTCTACACACTGCAGCATTTGGGAATTACTCATATTTTGTGTTTGTGCTCCAATGAAATTGGACAGTCAGACTCACAGTACCCTGAATTATTTGAGTACAAAAATTTTTCTGTAAGTAATTCACTTTTTTTCCCTCTAGGTTTTTTGTCAGTCTATTTCTACATGAAGAAAATTTCCTGGGTTATTTGGTGCATCTGGCTGAAATCCCATTTAGTTGTTGCTAATTTTCTCTGCTATGGGACATCATAAACTCAACTAACCAGGCTTGAAACCCAACTATACCTCAACCAAAAACTCTAAAACAGTAATAGTTGCAGTGAGGAATCACAGTGGAAATGGTAATATCCTTTTTCTTTTTGTACATTAATCTTACACTCAGATCTAAGGAAATGTTGATTGTAGAGCTCTCTAGTTCTATATCTTAGTGTTCTATTACCTGCATGGAAACCTCTTTCATAATGAATCTAATGGTACATGCTTTGCCTCATTGAAACAGATATGTGACAACGAAGATTCAAACATCAGCAGTATCTTTGAAGAAGCTTCTGATTTTATCGATCATGTTGAACAAATAGGTGGAAGGGTCTTAGTTCATTGCTTTGAAGGGAGAAGTAGGAGCGCCACATTAGTGATTGCACACCTGATGCTTCGGAAGTAAGTAATGTGTCATGCTTTATACTTTAGAAAGCTTATAAACCAAAGGCTACATTGCTGCAAAAAAACGTCCAGTATTGGTAAACCTTAGTTCACCGGAGTTCTGTCATGCAAATGGAACCTTTTTGGTTAATCAAGACTGAAATACTTTCTCTATCACGGGCAGGAACTTAACTTTATTAGAAGCATGGAATGCCCTTAAGCGAGTTCACCGCCGAGCCCAGCCCAATGATGGGTTTTCAAGGATTCTAGTGGATCTTGATCGGAAACTGCACGGAAAGGTTTCAATGGAGTGGCATCAGCGAAAACCAATGATGAAAGTCTGTCCCATTTGCGGGAAGAATGCTGGTCTGAGCAGCAGCTCACTCAAGCTTCATTTGCAGAAAGCACACAAGAAGCTATCTTCAGGGAGTGTGGACAGTGCAATGACCATGGAGATACAGAAAGCTTTGGATGCACTCAAAATGAACCGTGGTGGGAGTGTAAGCCCCACACAGAGACAGTCTCATTCAGTTATGGATAAGTAGCAGCAGAACATTCATTTTAGTACAATAGAACCCCTGAGGAATCATCAATTCCTGGATTTGCTGCTCTTCTCAGTTTATATTTGGTGTGAGTTCAACTCTGCTGGTTAACTTGGAACCAAAAGCTCTGCGGTCATTAGCAGCAGCATTGATAACAACTTAGCTGTTATCCTGTTTGTAAAAACCATCTTATCAATGTAAGTATCATACATGGTGGACAAGGATTTAGTTTTTATAGAGATATATGCCTTGCCACTGCAAACGGGTGAATACTGGGCAATCTTGGTTCCAAATTATTTTTGGAGTGCATTGTGTATCATTAATCATTATCTATATTCAACGAAATAAATAAAATGCAATTTGTCAAGCACAGTGAGTTGCAATTTCTATGATATTTTGTCATTTTTACCAGCCGCTCATCAGTCTGCTGGGTGCGAACTGCAAGTCACTACGGTCGCCTGTCCCGTAGCAAATAGTGTCATTTCTATGCTTAGGTGAAGTAACAGAACTTTATTCTGCTTCAAGAACTTCGAATTTCAGGATCCAATGCTCTGCATTGATAGCTGTGATCTAACGATTGGGTCTAAACAGCTCTAAATAGGCAGAAAATTCTAAATGTGGATCATTGAGGAACAACCTTACGGTATCGATTCAGGTTCAATAATAAGCAGTAACATTTTGAATGTATTCCAATCTAATTAAATTTTATTGTTAAGTCAACTGCCAACCTAATACTACCAGCAGCATCTTCTTTACGCCTCTTCCAACTATGCATGTGTTTCAGTGTAAGAAATACAGCTTCAATGTCCACAGGCAAGCAATCGATGACTTCCAATTCTACTGCCAAGTAGTCCTTTCAAGAAAACAGACTACAACTAGTATAGCCAGTTCAATGAAAAAGAAAAGTTACAAACAACATATCCCAAAAACCTATTTGGTTACACAACTGGAATTGGATCAGCCAATGACTCGGGAGCACCACTGCTACCATTCAGAACGGTAACATTTCCATCAGAGTCAACGTCCACAATTACTGAATCACCCTCCTTGATTTCCCTAGCAAGCATCTTCTCGGCCATGCTGTCCTCAAGAAGTCTCATAATGGCTCTTCTCAAAGGCCTTGCTCCATAACTTGGGTTGTATCCTTCCTCCACCACCCTCTCTCTAAACCTTTCAGTCACTTGAAGCTCTATATCTTTGGCTTTGAGCCTGTCAAACACCTCCTTAAGCATTATATCAGCAATCTCCTTTACCTCCAACTTGGTGAGCTGCCTGAAAACAATCATCTCATCCAATCTATTCAAGAACTCTGGCCTGAAATACTGCTTCAGTTCTTCTGTCACCAGGCTCTTTATTCTATTGTAACTGCTGTCCTTCTCATCATAATCAAGATCAAATCCTATCCGTCGTCCACCCTTCTCAATTACACTGCTCCCAACATTTGATGTCATTATCAGAAGGGTATTTTTGAAATCCACAGTCCTTCCTTTACTGTCTGTCAACCTTCCATCCTCAAGTATCTGCAGCATCATGTTGAAGACATCAGGATGTGCCTTCTCAATCTCGTCAAAAAGGACAACAGTGTATGGTCGTCTCCTAACAGCCTCAGTCAGCTGACCACCCTCAGTGTAACCAACATAACCAGGAGGTGAGCCAATGAGCTTGGACACCGTATGCCTTTCCATGAACTCACTCATGTCAAGCCGGATCATGGCTTCTTCAGAACCAAAATAGTAAGCAGCTAGTGCCTTTGCCAGTTCTGACTTTCCCACACCAGTTGGTCCAGAAAAGATGAAGCTAGCAATTGGCCGGTTGGGGTTCTTGAGACCGACACGGGCACGTCGAATTGCACGACTAATGGCTTTGACAGCTTCATCCTGACCAATGACTCGCTTATGAAGAGTCTCTTCCATCTTAAGGAGGCGATCAGACTCATCGGTTGATACTTTCTCAACAGGAATACCAGTCCAGGCAGAGACTATATGCTGAATGTCCACTTCAGTCACAACTGGACCTCCATCCCCTGCCTCTGCCTCTGCCTTATTCATCTCCTTGTCTTTCTCTTGGATGGCAGTGATCTGAGCCCTGAGCTCAATTTCTCGGTCACGTAATTCCCCAGCCTGTTTAAAAGAATGTGCTATGATGTGAACCAGTTGTACCCAAGATTGTCAAACCCACAAAAGAAAAACAACAGTTGACCACTTAACAGCCTTGTAAGAAAACAAATCTTTGAGTAGATCAAACAATCCAACACCAACAAGTTAGGACCCAAAGAAGGACCAGTAAAATATTTTGATCCACTCCCTAACAGAAATCAACATAAATGGTCCCATGAAACTCAAACACTTTGTACCTTCTCAAAGTCCTGGCTGCGAACAGCTTCATTCTTTGACTTTGTGATCTGCCTGAGCTCCTTTTCAAGCTCTCTGGCTTCCTCAGGGAGCTGCAATAACAATAATTTCATGAAACCAACTTGAGAAAGAAAGGCTTACAAGGTTTGCTTATGACTAGATTGGAATGCAACCACACCTGTGCATGACGAAGGCGAACACGAGAACCAGCTTCATCAATCAAGTCAATTGCTTTATCAGGCAGAAAACGGTCACTGAAGCATGCAGAAATTAAGGTGAGGCACAAAAAGAGCAGTACCATTTTGTGACAATGCAAATGAAAAGGATACTTGATGAAAATAAGATGACCACATACCTGATGTACTGGTATGACAGCTGTGCAGCAGAAATTAAGGCATCATCTGTGTAGCGAAGCTTGTGGTGAATCTCGTAACGTTCTCGCAAACCTTTCAAAATCTGTATAGTTTCATCTACAGATGGTTCAGGCACTTTAACCGGCTGGAAACGTCTTTCCAACGCTGGGTCTTTCTCAATATGCTTTCTGTACTCATCGAGTGTTGTAGCTCCAATACACTGCATCAATTCAAATAAAAATATAAAAAAATAGCCAGATTTGATTAAAATAACAGAGATGATAATCATTCAGAAGTATAAAAATTCAAACACAAGCAGCAATGAGAAGGCACCAAATAATTCACATGGAAGTCAGATACAACAATCAACCCAAGTCCCTAAAAGATTATAACACTTGCTGAAACGGTGAAGAAGAATTTATCTAGTAGATTTAAATGCAGCACCAGGCAATCCAAACTTAGAAATGACTGAAAACTACAGAAGCTTTCCCAATTCCTTCTTTCGTTTTCTAGACAAAAATAGATACACACAGTACAATCTCCATTGTAAGAACAAAATTTACCTGCAATTCACCTCTTGCAAGAGCTGGCTTCAAGATATTGGCAGCATCAATAGCCCCTTCGGCAGCTCCTGCTCCAATTAAGGTGTGCACCTCATCGATAAACAATATTATCTCATCACTTTGCTTGATTTCCTCCATTAGCTTTTTCAATCTCTCTTCAAACTCTCCACGATATTTAGTTCCAGCAACAAGAAGACCCATATCAAGTGTTATAACCTAACAAGAAAACAGTCATAAATGTGTACTTTTAACTAAAAAAAATAAAGTACCAAAAAATAATGCCTGTATCTTTGAAAGGTCTGGAAAAGGGGGAAGAAGAAGAAGAACTAGGTAAAATGGAAATTATAATGACATTAAAAGATACAGGCATCTCTCTTGTTGATTTATACCCTTGATAAAATTAAGATAATAGCACAGCACCTAGATCTTAATCTATCAACCATCTATGTCATTCTTTTGATTAGCTTCAGGCACGACCTTACAATTAGGAATATTCAAATTTTATGGTAATAGGAATATTCAAATTTTATGGAAATAATGAAACTCTCAACTTTAAGTGACTATAATCTCTATTGACCAACCATTTCATGGTATGTATACTAATGCAGTAAACATTCCAGGTACAAATATGACCCGTGATGGAAATAGATGTTATACATGCATTACACAGAATTTTAGCATGCAACTAGTGCAATATTGGCATAAGTTTGAGGCAATGCTAAAAGGGGAACATGCAAAAATATTAGAATCAGATTTGCACCTCAGAACAAATCCAAAAACATGAAAACATTTTTAAAATCACTATAAATTTGTAATCTCTTTGCTAGGACAAAATATTCTTAATGCTAAATAACATGTATGCACCTTCTTTCCCTCAATTGTATCAGGAACATCACCACTAGCAATACGCTGAGCAAGGCCTTCAGCAATTGCTGTTTTTCCAACACCAGGTTCTCCAATAAGACATGGGTTATTTTTGGTCCGTCTACCCAATATTTGGACAACACGTTCTATTTGAACCTGCCTCCCAACAACAGGATCCAATTTACCCTGAAATGGGGAAAACCAGCTTAGAAACAAGCTCATGCAAATACCCAGATGATATACCCACATAAACACATTTCTTACCTCCTCAGCGAGCTTAGTCAAATTGGTTCCATATTCCTCAAGTGTTGGCATCTTTGTGTTGCCAGTTGATCCTCCAGGAACAACACTAACTTCATTGCCCTCACCAACCATACGAATAACCTAGTAGTCAAATAGAAGATTAAACCCCATTAGTTTTTTATATTGGTAAAAAAAAAAAAAACCAGAAATTTGAAACAAGATCAAGTTGGTAATGCATTTCTTGCCTGTGTGCGGATATTGCTTGGGTCAGCACCTAAATTCTCCAGAACACGTGCTGCTACACCTTCACCTTCACGAAGCAGCCCAAGAAGAAGATGCTCTGATCCAATATAGTTATGGCCTGAAATTTTCATAAAATAAAATTTACCAGTTAATCTAAGTAGATTTACGAAGTCCAGAGAGCATCTGTATGTAAATAGAATGAAGACAGAACTAAGCGCTGGCTGGAATTGAAGGATTCAGTGAGATAAGTTAGGAGCACACAGCTAAACGTCTTGGTCATTTAAAGATGAAGGAAATAGGCTCCCCACCACCACAATAATCCTTTGATACAAATTTTTTTCTTTTTCATCATATAAAATAGTTTTCTTATTGGTTAAGTCAATCAAATGGAAATTTGATTCACGTGATCTTCTGCCAATAAATAGATTCTATTATGAATGGAAATGACTGAGTGAATTGTTATATGGACACATAAAATGAAAGCCAAATAAAATGATGAAATGGTAGTATAACTCTTTCTACTAGCTAATCCCAGTTTAAAAGCTGTTGTAAAACGAATTAAAAATAAAAAGCAAAAACTATATAGTATATGGATACCAAGTTGGCGCGCTTCTTCCAATGAGAGTTCCAAAACACGTTTTGCACGAGGAGTAAATGGAATCTCCACAGCAACAAACCCACTGCCCCTTCCAATTATCTTCTCCACTTCTACACGTGCATCCTTAAGATTGATTCCCATGGATTTAAGAACTTTCGCAGCAATGCCAG